AAAAAAAAAAAAAAAAAAAAATCAAATCAACCAACTATAGTTCATGAGGTCACCCTCTTCTTTTGTAAATAACGTTTTATAGGATTAGGGTGAGATGAGGAAGGGAGGGCCCTACAAGTGCAGGAACAGATTTTGTCTTTTCTTAAAAGTTTATTTTGTTCAACATCAAAGCATATAATTTGCATTAATTTTGGTGTTTTAAATATTGCATTAAAGTATGATTTCCATTTGATTACTTGGTTTTGTGGGGGTGGGAGAGCGGGGAGCTTAAATTTTGCTCCCAAGGTGAAAGAGTGTCTTGCACAGGCTTGGAAACAGACGTGCCAGCGAGCTGCCAGCCACCAGCTGGTGTCCCGACTGCCACTTCCCCGCTCGGGGCCTGGTCAGGAAACGCAAGGTCCTTCCAGGCCCAGTTTCGAACTCCCTAACACCCCTGTCCTCTATTTGCGGAGAATCCCGCCCAGCATTCCAGCTCCGTTGGGGTACCGCCAGGGCCTTCTTTCTTTCGGGGCGCCCTAAGAGGAGGAGCTTCCGCAGCAAGAAACGCGCGAAAGGGGAGGGCGGCCGGCAGGGGCAGGCCCGGGGCCCGGGCGGCCGGCAGCGCGCGCCGCACAGACCGAGAGCACCCCTGCCACCCCGGCCAAAGCGCGGGAAGCCGGGCGGCGGGGCCGCACGCGAAGTCGGAGCCCAACCCGGGTGCGTCTCGAGGCCGCGGGGTCGGCGCAGTGAACGCCGGGAGCACCGCCCGCAAAGCCCCGGCGCTGGGCTCCGTGCCGCTCTGCTGCAACCCGCCGCGCAGCGCGGCTGGGACGCGTGTGCTTCAACTCACCTCGGAACCCACCTCGTCCGTCATGACTCCGGCCCCCCCAGCACTCCGCTCGGGACGAGGCAGCCACGGGTTCGCTCCGCCCGGGAGTCGCTGTTCCCGCCGCCCGCAGCCCGGCAGCACTGTTCGAGCTTTCGCGCCCAGTCGGAGTGGCGGCCCCACCTCTCGGGTTTGCACCAATCCAGAGGAGGCTTTCCACGGAGGCCGCGCCCCCGCCTGGCCCGCCAATTGCGAAGAGCCTCCGGCCGCCTAGGACCGCCTAGGACCGTAATCTGGACTGGGCTGGCGGGTCGCGGTGGCTGTTGTCGGCTGAGCCTGGGCGAGGCTGGAGGTGCCCTGGTTGTCGCTACCATGCCAAAGGTGATCTTTTACCTTTGCCATAGATCTAAAGCTCGCTTCAAGTGCAACTTGGAGAGTGAGTCTTCCACGGAAGCTGGTTCGTGGGCACCTGAGAATGACCTGAATCTTTTTTTTTTCCTTGAGACAGGGTCTTGCTTTGTCGCCCAGGCAGAAGTGCAGTGGCCCTCGCTGCAGCCTGAATTTATGGGCTCAAGCGCTCCTCCTGCCTCAACCCCGAATAGCTGAGACTCCAGGCTTGCCATGGTGCCTGGCTAGTTCTTTAAAAAAAAGATGAGGACTTGCTATGTTGCCCAGGCTGGTCTCCAACTCTTGGTCTCAAGAATCCCTCCCGCCTCAGCCTCCCTAAGTGTTGGGATTACAGGTGTGAGCCACTGCTCCTGACCTGTACCTGAATCTTTTCAGAGGGAATAGAGATTGGAAGGCATGGGGGATTTTCTCCCTAACTCCATTTCTGGAGCAGATAGATTCTGTCTTCCTCTCCTTGTACATGATACTCACCATTGAGTATAAAAAAGAAAAGAAAAGTTTTTCGGGCTGCTCAGATACCAAAGAGTATCTTCAGGTAATCTTTATAATTTTATTTAGAGTTAGTTTGAGGATGCAAAAAGCACCCATCTCATTCTTAGAGGGCTTCTATTTTTGTACAAGGCTGGAAAAAGAATTAAATCTCTGGAGTCAGACTTGACCCAGACAATTATAATCCCATTTTTGTCATTGTGCTGGTTATTATCTTTTTGTCCTTTCTTTGGCTTGGACTGTGTCCAGACAAGGCTGACAGCTCTAGCCTGTATTACCCCCAGCTTCCTTGCCCTCTGGCTTTTGGTTGAGTCAAGCCACTGTAAGACACTTTATAAATTGAATCTAGGAAGAAGATCAGAGGGCACCAGGAAAGAAAGCTCAGAGTATCTACTGCCCATTTAACCCACCATGGTCATATCCACTGGGAGGAAGACCAGCTTAGCCCAGTTTGCCCAGAACTAGTTTTAGCACAAAAGTCCCACATCCTGGGACTCTCCTGAGTCACAGGCATACCAGGATAGTTAGTTGATCAACCAATCCACTGGCCTTCCCATTCAAATTTCCAGCTTTAGCAGGTTCAGACAAGAGCTCCCTCTCCTCATGTTCCTTTCTTCACCTCCTCACAATGTCTCAACACATTTCTGTCCCCACCAATGAGATCCCATCACCCACCCTCTTCTCCTTTCCCATCTCAGTTTATCCACTTTTCTTACTTTACTATTAATTTCTACCTTGATGTTTCCAAATATATATCAATAGTGCTCCCTGCCTCATATTTTTTTTTAGTTCATGTCTTTTCTTAATTCATATATAATTACTTGTCTTCTGGTTTGTTGAAGCAGTAAGTAGGACAACATTTGCCACAGTAGTGTCTATCAAAGTGGCTGGCCATAAAAACTCCAGCACCACACTCATCTGAAGGACACTCTCGACGAAGGCGACTTATTTTGCCATTCTCATCGACCTTATAGTATTTCAGTACAGCCAGCTTAACCTTCTTTCTCTTACACTTATTCTTCTTGGGAGTGGTGTAAGACTCCTTCCATTTCTTAGCACCACCACGAAGTCTTAACACAAGATGAAGAGTGGACTCCTTTTGAATGTTGTAGTCAGACAAAGTATGTCCATCTTCCAGTTGCTTGCCAGCAAAAATGAGTCTTTGCTGATCAGGAGGAATTCCTTCCTTATCCTGGATCTTGGCCTTCACCTTTTCTATCGTATCCGAGGGTTCAACCTCAAGAGTGATGGTCTTCCCTGTGAGGGTTTTTACAAAAATCTGCATCTTGATGGAGGTTCCACCGCAGATGGCGGATCGGAAAGCCCTGCCTCATATTTGGAGGATTAACATTTATTGAGAGTTTACTCTGTAGCAGAAAAAGCTGCAGGAATTTTACAAGCATTGATTATCTTATTAATCTTCAGAATAAGCTTGTAAGGTAAGGAATTTTTTTTTTTTTTTGGTCCACTGTGTCACCCTGGATAGAGTGCTGGGTATCATAGCTCACAGCAACCTCAAACTCCTAGGCCCAATAGATCCTCCTGCCTCAGCCTCCTGAGTAGGTGGGATTACAGGTGCATACCACTAAGCCCAGCTAATTTTTCTATTTTTAATGTAAACTGGGTACTCTTGCTTAGGTTGGTGTTGAACTCCTGACCTCCTGACTTCAAATGATCCTCCCACCTCAGCATCCCAAAATGCTAGGATTACAGGCATGAGCCACTGCTCCTCGTGTAAAAAGAAATCTTTTATTCATTTTTTTATTGTGGTGAAATACACATAACATAAAATGTATCATCTTAACCATGTAAAAGTATACAATACAAAAATGCTTAGTATGTCCCCAGTATTATGCAACCAATCTTCACAATCCTTTTCATCTTGCAAAACCGAAGCTTTACACCCACTAAACAATACTTCATTCCTCATATCCCCATGAAATCTTTTATTTTATATATGGACTTGTGCCAAGCTAAAGTGAGTCTGCTTTTGGAATTAGCAAGCTGTATTCTGGAATTTTGGTGAATGGCACCATAATCCATCACTCCCCAACCAACTCAGAAACCTAAGAGTCACCTTGACTCCTCTGCTGCTTGGTCCTCAAAGTTTAGTCATCCAACAAGCCCTGTGTGAAAGTGATAGCTGACAACAAGGGAAATACTTGGAATGTTCACTTTCTAGGGATTAGCCTGAACCTGTCTCATAGATGGCTTTGTGCACTGAGGTCAGTCATGTAGTTTCTCAGAGGCCTGTTTCCCTTGTTTCTAACTAGAGACATTGGGTCAGATCATAATTCTCAAAGAGGTTTAATTGGCAGGATACCTGGAAGGGTATTACTCTACAGATATTACTCTTTGCAGTGCTGACACTCTTACTCTGGTCATGTAAATTAGGAAATATTTTCACGAATAGGATCTATCATTGTATCACAAGAAGTCAACATTTAAAAAGCAAGTCTGAGATTACAAATTCATGAAAAAATACGCCATGGAATTTAACAAGCTCCGCCAACTTCAAAGTGTTTAATGCTCCTTGGCAGACAACCAAAAGCAGATAACAAAGCCTTAAGAAATTTGGAAGGGAGATAATCGACTAAAATTGTGTCTTTTACTTCTTCTCCTTGCAAACTGACAAAGTCACGCTTTGAGTACTACTATTATTCCTTTGGAGTAAAGTTTGAGAGCTACTTGGTTTGCTCAAGTGTGCTGCTAAGTATCTTTGTCCTTGGAGAAGCAGTGCCACCATGTGGCAGGTCTTGGTCACATCGTTTCACCTATTGCCTATAGCCACTCTATCCTAAAACCATTCAGGGGTGGGGGAACATTTTAAGATTGTTCAGGCTCGGTGCCTGTGGCTCAAGCGGCTAAGGCGCCAGCCACATACACCTAAAGTGGCGGGTTCGTTGTGGCGGGCGCCTGTAGTCCCAGCTACTTGGGAGGCTGAGGCAGGAGACTCGCTTGAGCCCAGGACTTGGAGGTTGCTGTGAGCGTGATGCCATGGCACTCTACCCAGGGGGATAGCTTGAGGCTCCGTCTCAAAAAAAAAAAAAAAAAGAAAAAAGATTGTTCAAGAGTGGTTACAGTTCCAGCCACATGCACAAAGCCTGGGAGGTTTGAGCCCAGCCTGGGCCAACTAACCAACAATGACAACTGCAACGAAAAAAAAATAGCCTGTCATTGTGGTGGGTGCCTGTAGTCCCAGCTCAAAAAAAGAAGATTGTTCAAGAGTTATTTAAACACTCCTTTGGTGGGGTGAAATAGCTGCATCTCCAAGCATCTAGTTTCAAGAATGGTTTCATACTATAATTCATACAGTTCTAAAGCTTCTCTTAGAGAGTACCCTGCTTGAAGGCCTCAGCCATTTTTCTTGCTTAATGTTAAACACCCCGGACTTTAAAAATGTCACAGATCTGAAACATAGTGGATGCTTAATAAATAATTGTCAAATGAGTGATTAAAATACTGTGACCTAAAAATCAAAATTAAAATAAAAATATCAGGGCCTTTCCCCAAGATATAACAGCACCCACTGGTTGTTTTTTTTTGAGACAGAGTCTCACTACGTTGCCCTTGGTAGAATGTGGTGGCATCACAGCTCACAGCAACCTCAAACTCTTGGATTTAAGTGATTCTCTTGCCTCAGCCTCCCAAGTAGCTGGGACTATAGGCACCCGGCTATTTTTTGGTTGTAGTTGTCACTGTTGTTTGGCAGGCCCCAGACTGGGTTTGAACCCGCCAACCCCGGTGTATGTGGCCGGCACCCTAGCTGCTGAGCTATGCACCTAGCCACCATCAGCTATTCTGCCTGCAGAAGCTCCTTTACCATGACTTTGGGTGACCCTAAAATACCTGAAAAATATCCATCTATTCATTCAACAAATCTTGAGCACCTACATTAACCCTATGCTAGACTACAGCAAACATGGAGACATAAAATACAGTCTTGTTCTCAGAGAGCTTTCCACCACCATGCGGAACAGGCGGGCCAAGGGGGATGTGCAACATGGAAGTGGGTACGAGCAGTTGCAGGGCACCTGAGGAAGGGACGACTGACTTTGCCTAAGTCACAGGGAAAGGACGCCTGAACTGTGTTGCAAAAATGAATTGGGACTTCTCTAGGCAGGCACGGGGAGGAGAAGGCATTTCGGGTA